TGATGACGGGCTTGAATATCATTACATAATTTATTGCAGTGTATGTGTTCATTCTTATATACACCTATATACACTTAAATAAAGAAAGTTACAGTAGTTATTTCGGAAGATGCTGTACAAGATGCGATCTATTTATTATTTTCTAGTTTGGTACCTGTCGCTTCGCTGACGACAAGATGATCAAATTTCAATTGTTTGTCCATACAAGCAATAGTCATTTATTCACGCTCTCCTCCGGTCTTTTGAACAGGATTAGAGGTTTATCCCTTGTTTTTCTGTTTAGGATTGGGTTTCCGGCTCCTTCAAAAGTCTCCTTCAGCCTTATATTCCTAACGCTTGTCTTTTCCTTTTCTAATATAACGCCACACAGCAATCTTGAGTAGCATTTAGGCCGTGTATTAGGTATTGAACATAAGTTTTTAAAAAATTTGAACCGGCATTTATGATACTAGTTTGGTACATGCCACTTTGCTAACAGCAATCTAAATTGTTTGACCATTTAAAATACTACATTATATATAGAGATGTGTGTGTGGGCCAAGATATTCGTAACATACTTGTTGACAACACTAATATAATAGCATCATCTACATGCAAAAAAAAAAAGGCTAAAAATAATGGAAGCCTTATTAATAAAAACAAACAAACCAACACTTAATATTAACTTTGAACATGGACACAATATCTTGGCCGTGTTTTGATAAATGAAAACATTTTATAAAACATACATACAACAAACCATTTCTTATTTAACAATTAAAATAATTTAATCCTTGAAAATGGCTAAATGTATAGCCAAAAGCGCTCGGATAAAAAGAACAATCGGATGGTTTTTATATAATTTATCATCCGAAGAGAAAAAAAATATTAGATCGCATGAGAAATTGCATAAAAAAAAAAAAACTAAATCAAAGTACCTTGTCTGTCGTATTCAATGAAATGTGCATGAAAGAAGGGTTGCTGCCTAAATACACAAATTTTAAATATATATATATATATATATATATATATATATATATATATATATATATATATATAGGATAGGTGTATACGGAATAAATTCCAATAACCAAAAAATAAAAGAGTGATCAATACAGAGTAGAGCAAATATAGTCGAAAATTATAACGTGATTTTTTTATGTTATAATTTTCGAATAAATTATAGCTGTGATAGATCGAAACAGTCTGTCTGTGGGTGACTATATAAATCTATCTATCTATCTATCTATATATATATATATATATATATATATATATATATAAGCGTGTCCGAAAATTTCAAACATAAAACCTTTCTCTCCGTGCTTCATTTCTGTCATATGTTTAATATTTAATAAATGTTTATCGTACTGATCTTATTGGTACCATTTCATTTGTCCTTGTTTTATTAACCGATCTATTTCCATGTCTGTCATAATTCAATGGCAGAATGACAGACCTGAAAATATTTCTAAAAAATTAAGAAAAAAAAATATCCCATTTCCGAAAATTTCATAAGTATCTGTGTTTTCTTTTAAGATGTAAAATATTGTTTTATTTTATTTTTTAAAATATTGCTTTATTATTAAATAGAGAGAACAATAAAAAAGAAGAATTAAGAATAAGATAACGATTGACATTGCATTTACATTTTTGAAGATCAAATTTAACCTAGAAAGTAGAAGCCGGAAGAGAGTTCCACAAGCGAGAAGTGCGATAAAAGAAACTGTTAGCATAGAATTTACGATTACATCTATCTATTTCAACTGCGCTTAAATTCATAAAGTCTAGCTACTAAAGTAGAAAGTAATATTTATATTGAAAATACAAAAATGTGGCAAAAACCCTGCCAAAAGAGGAGATGGGAGAAGTCTGGGCTTCAATCTGTCTTATCTGAAACTTAACTAGACACAATTACTGACCCAAACGTCCCACAGTATTCCTTACACCAAAACAACACATTCTGACTTACCATTCTTACTGTTACCACCATAATACCCCAAAGTCTCTATGAAGTTCCAAATAGTTCCCATTTGTCTGGTGGGGCGGGAATAAAAGAGGAAATTTCATCAGAATATTTGCCATGAAAGTATTTATAGAAAAAGGCACAGGGAAAGTACATTACGGCGATGCGAAAGTGACTGAAGCCGAGATGCCAGACCAATAACATTGCAGATTCTTCTTTAGATTTCATCAATAATCTCTAAATATATAGCAGGATCACCAGACCAGATGTGGCAGCAATATTCAAAGCAAAGACGAATGATAATCTACTAAAAGGAAAGTATTATGAAACAATTTTGAAAATAATTGCTCTGAACAACTATAAAACGGGTCGTGAGCGCTAAGTAGGTATTCTTTTTTTCTTTTTTATGTGCTATTTCCTTTTAGAACGTGGGTGATCATAGCTCTCCACATCTTCCTATCTTTTTTTACTCAAATAACTTTTATAACCTTCGTTGTCCTTGTTCTGCCATCCATTCACACAAACTCATTAAGTAGAATACTCGCTGTGTCCCCTGCCTCTCTTACTGTCAATATTTCCTGTGAATGTTAGATTTTCCAAGCCTTCTTTTCTTATTATGTGGCCTCGAATTTTCATCTATCTTTCTGATTGTAAATATAAGTTTCCTTGTAATTTCTATTTTCCTTAGCCTTCGTCGGTAGAACCACATCGCGCCTCTTCTTTATCTGCGAAGAGATTGTCCAGCATTCGCTGCCATAAAGGAGGACTGATATTACATAACAGTTCAATACTCTGTTTTGTTTCTAACGACATTGTCCTATCTCTTAATACTTTGCTTAGTTTATAAAAGACATGGGGGAATTGTCAAGCAGTTACTACTGCTATATAGGAGATAAATATTACATAGTAGTTCAGTAACCTTTTCTTTGTTTCTAACAACATTTTTCATTTTCCTATCTCTTAGTACTTTACTTAGATTATGAAAGGCATTAGGAAATTGTCTAGCATTCACTGTCATATAGGAGATTAGATATTACGTTGCAATTCAACATTCTTCTCTTTGCTTCTAACGACATTTTCCTATCTTTTAATACTTCGCGTAGTTTATGAAAACCTACGTCTTCGGATTTTTGCCTCCCATTTTTCGTCTTCTGTTACTTTATGTCCTTAAAGAGTTGAATTTCTGTACCTGCTCGATTGTAATGTTCCCAGTACATAGCTCACACCTTGGGACGTTTCTTTTGCTGAGAGCCGTACATTCTGTCTTCTGCAATCAATAGTCAACCCTTCCTTTACTACTTTGTCTCAGCGTTCTTTATGCTTTCATGATTTGAAGCTTTATGTGCCATGTAGGTACCAATATACCATTTATCACCTCACCCACTAAAAATGTAATAGCATCTTTTTGAAAATGAAATTACTCAGACATGAGAAACTTGATTAAAAGGACTTCTGGTTGTAATTCTTGAAAATGAGGACGACAAACTATACACGTGTGCGCACGTACTCACACATACGCAAACTTCCCACATATGCACCTATGTATAAAAGATGCGTGTGTAGCGTCTACTTGTTACACAGTATTTTATAGCTGCTTGAAATTTGTCATTTATGTTGTCTCGCTTGAGATAGAGAAAGAAAGAGCGAGAGCGTGACGGAGAAGTAATTAGTAATAAAAGAGAAAGAAAGAGAGTGAGTGGGCGAGTCGCAGGTGTACGATCATCATGGAAGTGTTTGGCATAAGAAACAATGATGTTTAAAAAGAGAGAGAGAGTGTGTGTCTGTCTGTGTATGTGTGTGTAAGAAGAGTTTTTAATATGTGATGGAGAGACAACACATTCGAATTGGCGCGTCAGTGAAGGAATGAGAAAGAAAAAAGAAGATATACACTACAGAAAGAATAAATATCAAAATGGAAGCGGAATGTACTTTTGGTGGATGTCTATAATTAATAAGATTTTACGATGCGTGTCTATTTAAGACAAAAAATAAAGAGAGAGAACCAAAAAGGAAAGAAAAAGAGAACAAAAGAGAGAGTGAAAGAAAAACTGTAAAGATCCAAATTTTATAGAAAGATATTTTGAAAAGTTTTAAATAATTTAACGACAAAGCGAAAAGTAGTAACTAACTTTTATTAACCTGGGATAGTGCCAAAATAGGGAAAAAGACTCACTTTTTTCTTTTTCTTTTTTTTTTTTTAGTTTTTATTCCTTTTACGTTTACGAAGTAAGAAGAGAAACTATTATTGTATTAGAAAAAAAAATCTGCATTTAGAGCACTGAAGCAGTCTGATTTTTTTTTTTTAAAGAAAGCTTTTACTCGACTTTTAATGTCAAGATTTAAAAATCCGCTCACCCCCAAAGCTTACGGTGTTGTGTGTGTGTGAAAAAGAGAGAAAAAAAAACGAATTTGCAATCAAAGCTATTTGGCAATGTAATTATTTAACTTGCATCCGTAATGAATCTCTAACTTAAACGTGTGACGTGTATTTAAATCTGCATGCCAAGCTATGTGTAAAATTACGTAACTTTTTTTTCTCTTTTAGATTTTCAAATTGCCTGTCAGGAACCATAAATGATCCTTATGCCTACCAGACTGTATTCACTACCTCCGACCTATGCATATGAAAAAAAAAAAAAAATTCTTCATTTGTGTGTGTGTGCGCGCGTACACGTGTATTTGCAAATATTTGTATACGTGGGTGTTACTGTTAGTGCTGTTTCTAGGGCGAAAGCATATGTAAAATAAAGTAAAGATATACTCCAAAGAGATAACTTGGCAATTTTCAGATGTACAAATTTTGTCGTTAACTTTCTTTCAATGTAATGTTCTAATTCGGTTTGTGGTTTTTCTTTTAATTTCTTCTTTAATTCAGGAGGAGGATTTTTATGGTGCATGGTGGAGAAAGTGAAAATGTTTTAGTTTATTATTTACTGTTCTTTAATAAAAGCCACAAAAAAAGAAAGAAAAAAAACGCCCTGAGACGAATGTGAACTTAAATTTCTGCGGACACGCGCACACGAACACAGAGAAAAGCGTTCATATTGCACCTTAGTTTCTCCGTTACTGTTCGTTTCTTCATCCATCTATCTATCTATCTATCTATCTTTTCTTTCTTTTTTTTTTTTTCCTCCTCTCTCTCTTTTGTCTTTCTAAATCTTAATTGTAGGCATCAAAAAAGTACCTTCCTCATGTTGTTGATATTTAAAATTATTCTTTCTGTTTGTACTTTTTTTTTCTCATTCCTTCTCAGACGTCCCAATTCGAACGTGTTTTTGTCTCTCATTTTACATAAAGAATTCTTCTTACGCTTTCTGTCTCCTTTTTTAAAACATTTACTGCCTCTTTTTATTCAATTCCTTCTTATATGCCAGACACTTCCACGGCAATCGTACACCTGCTACACACTCACTCACTTTAAGAAGTCTTTTCTCTTTCATTACTAATTACTTTTCCGTCAAACTTTTGCCCCCCCCACCATTTCATTACCTTTATTTCTCGTTATTATATTGTTTGATGTATATCTGTCCTTGTCTAAAAAAAATATTTGACAGATTGTAAAATTTGCAGTTTCATACAAAAAAAGCTAATTCTTTCTTTAGTCTTCTTTACGTTTCTCATAAAGAAGTTTGTTTTGGGTTCAAAACTTTGTAAATGTGGGTGGAATTGTACCAGGCACTGCATCCAGAATTTTTCTTTTTTTTTCAATTATTTTCCATAGGTACTTCAGATCACGAATAAGAAAAAAAAATTATTAATTTTTATAAAAGTTAACTGGGTAGGGTCCCAGTTTGCTATGTAAATTAATTGAAAATTGAATGCCTGGAAATATACTCACACTACTACTGATTTCTTAAATTGTAAAAATAAAAAAATAAATAAGATAAAATAAATATAAATAAATAAAAATATGGAATAAAAAATATTTGAATTCGTAATCAGGGGTGCTTTTGTGATTTTTTCATATATTAAGCACTCCAGATTATGAATTAAAAAATGATTTTTTACATTTTAAGAAATCATGTCGTATGAGCATATTTTGTTTTGGCTTCTGTAGGTAGGTCAATTTTTACAATGAATCTACATTACAAAATTCACCCCCATTAGCTTTTATTAAAATTTAATTACAAATGTTGATATTCATGATCTACATGATCTCTAGTAATATGAAAAAAAAAAAAAATTAAAAAAAAACAAAATAAAGTTTATTTCATGTTGCAGTGCCTCTTGTGCAATTCAAGTTATGCAATATACTGAGAACTAAAGCATGAATATTAGGATAGATCAGTAAGTCCATAGCCAGACATAATTGTTGCTTGAATTTTGTTATGAAGTTTTCATTTCAATGTATAATGTTTAAATATGTGCAATCAATGGGAAAGTGTTAGGCAAAATAAACTGACAATAAATCAAGCATGTTTATATATATATATATATATATATATATATATATATATATATATATATATATATATATATATATATATATAATTTAAACATTTCACATAGAGTATGTTTATAAAAAGTGCTCAATACAAATACAATACAAAAGTAGCAGACCTAGTCAAACCTAGAGAGTCAGACAAACCTACCAAGGTTTCACTTAAGTGGATCGTCAGGGAAAGCCAGCTTTCCTTACGATCCATTTAGGTGAAACCTGGTAGGTCTAACTCTCTAGGTTTATTTTATATATATATATATATATATATATATATATATATATATATATATATATATATATATATATATATTATTACTTGGTATCATCCTATGTACGGCAATAAAGCTACTAAGATGCAAGAGGTTACAGGATGTGGAAGAATTAGAAGCAAGAAAGAGGAAAGAGTAATCAGGAGGACAGTAGATAGTGATTGGCATTGAATATAAATTTTTGCAGATTAAAGTTGGTTTCTTTTCTCACACTTTTTGTTTGTGGAACTCACAAATGAAAAGTGCGAGAAAAGAAAATGTTAGAATTTACAGCTACACCTAGCCAGCTCAACTGTAAAATGATGAGATCTCAACGTTAGTCTAGTACTGTGTTTAGATTCAAAAAGTCTAGGTATCATAATGAAGAGCTCATCTGAACAATCAGAAAGTGGTGAGAAAGTGATTGAAGCCAAACCGCCTGATCAGGATCAATAATATTGCTGATTTTTCTTTAGATTTTATCAAGGATCTCTGGCCCATATACAGCAGCAATATTCTAAGCATGGATGAATAGTAGACTTATAGATATATAAGATAGATTCTGGAGAAAAAAATTTTCTCACACGACAGAGTGAACCCACTCTCTTAGCAGCTGACTTAGCAATGGATTTTAAATTATATATATATATATATATATATATATATATATAAAGAGAGAGATAGTGAGAGAGTGGACAAGGGGTGTAATTGTTAGTAAGCTTGTCTCACTATATCAATTACTACTGAGTAGTGAGTTTAATCCTTGCCAGGTGCTCCATACTTTTGGCCTTGTGCCACATCTATGCTTCACTTTTGTTTCTTTTTTATCATTAGTATATGTACTATATAATTAAATTATTTTAACTTTAAGTAAATTATATTTAACATGCCTGTAAACTAGAAAATTATTAGCCCATTGTACTAATAAAAAAAAAAAATTGAAAATTGAAACAAAATAAGGCTGTCTTCTCCAAAATATTCAACATACCAAAAAATCTTTGAACTTCTTGATTTGTTCCCCCTTCCCCTCCCCCAGGTGATAAATATGAAATATGCTTGGCAGTGATGATCTCCCTTATCTCAGCCTCTTTGTGAAATTAATGAAGAACATAAAGTTGGCTGGAGACAAATTTTGAAGAACTCACAAAAACACTTTATGTATGTCTGTCAATATAAATAGCTAAAAAGATTTGTGTTCAATAATGTTTCTTTATTTTTGGGGTTATTATATATTGTCTTTATATAGAACATCTAGTGTAGAATGACAAGAGGTTTTCTCATCTTGCAGGTTATTATTTGTGTGTTTGTTTATCAAGGTTTTTATGACTACCAAAATTGGCTGAATCAAACAAATGTCTTCTTATCATCATCCTCCTCTTCCTCCTCTTCCTCCTCCTCCTTGGATTTCTGTTGTATACACATTTCCTTCCAGGTCCCAACCAGAGACCTAAGGTCAGAAATGGCTTCATGACATTTTCCATTGATCATTTTTATAAAAAAATAAATTTAAAAAACCAAAGATCACACAAATTTTACATAGATAAAATTCTTCATAATGTGTAACGTGTACTTGTGAGTAGAATTTTTTGTATTTATTTAAGGCATGGGCTACCAGGAATCTCTTCAACAAGTCTATCAGAACCTTTTCCAATCAACCTGAGGGCTCCAACTACAACTGGAATTATTGATGTCTTCATGTGACATTTTTGAGATTTCCACTTCAAGAGCCTTGTATTTTGATATTATTATTATTATTATTATTATTATTATTATTTTCTCAAGTAGATTTTAATGAGCAGGCACAAGTTACAACAAATGTCCCTGGGTCCTCTCATTTTTTCATGTCACAATATCGATAAAACCTTTCTCAAAATTTTGGCCGTCCCAAACTGTTTTCTGAAGCATCTCAGTTCAAATCAAAGTCACAATTTTATCCTGCCATTTTTTAGACTTACAAGCCATTACAATCATATTATTTCACGTTTCAAATCTCCATCTATTTCTCAACTACCATTACATCCCTTGGTACCACTATATCAACGATCCAACACTGTCTTCCTTCAGTAACTTTTGAAAAATTTATTTATTTTTTACCACGTCATTTTCTGAGATCTGGGATAAAAGAAAGAAGTATATATATTTATATTTGCATAAATTCTGATGTCAAGTGATACTTAACATGTCCAGTGTTTATATATTCTTTATATGGATAATAGTTGACTGAGAAAATAAGCAATTCCACATTGTAATTTTTTGAATCTCTTGTAAACAAAGACTACCAGGGATCTTATTAGTGTGCCTTTTTTGAGTGTGCCTATGACTCAAATTATTATAGATACAGTAATATTAACCCCTACCTATTCACTTTAATTATTATTATTATTATTATTATTATTATTATTGTGTGAGAGAGCAACCTATATACATACCCGAATACACCCCTCATGGTACCCAGTCTGATAAGAAAATACAAAACACATACATCATTATTATTATTATTGAAGCTTGGGTACAAATATTCAAAAGCCCAATATACAAATCGTGGCACTCACTCTGATAAAGGTATACCAGGCACATGCATCACAGCCAATTAAAATAGAAATTCAAGGTGTAGAATATTTTTATGGCACAATTATTATGGTTCCAATGCAAATGAATATTAAGAATTAGATCCTTAACTAGGACACATCTGAGAGTCAGAATTTCCAGGAAAAACAGTTTCATTTCTGACATAGGCCATAGGAAAAAAGTTTGATTATTTGACTTTCTTTATCACTCCTCTGATAGAAACAAGCATCTTCATTTAGTCTACAACTGATTTTGGTTACATGACCCATATATGTGTTGATGTGTCAGAAATGATTCATGTTTTTATTCGTATTTATACACTTATTTCATAATAGTGTTACTTGTTCTAATGTTTAGTTTACTGAATCAAACCTTTTAACCCCATAAGAAATGAAGACTGAAAGAGATGTTTCTGGGGTACTGACCTCTCAATCGATTTTCTAATCTAAGTACAAATCACAGAATGAATAGGAAAACAACGATGTGCCCTGGCAAAATTTTACGATCTTTTTATTATCATCTTTTTTTTCTCTTGAGGATAGAGAAAGAGAAACACGTGAAAACAGGCACTCACCCTCCCTGTTACTCTCTTACCTTCACTTCCTTTCTTTCCTTTTTTCTCTTTTATATTTTTGCCCTTAGGCTTTCTCTTCTTGTCCCTTTCAATACTCTCCCCCTCTCTTTTACAATCTTTTTTCCCACTTCTTTTAACTTAGAGCGCATCTCTTTTTCCCTCTCCCATGATCTCTTTTACTCCCTCTTTCTCATCTAGCTCCTTTTTTCCTCTCTATTCCCTCCCCCCGCTTTCATTCTTATCTCTCCTTCTTTTCCCCACTTTCTGTCTCTCTTTTTATTTCCCTCCGCACTTGTATCTCTCTTAACGCTTCACTGATTAGGTTAATGGATCCGTCATGGTTGCATTGGTTATGTAATGCTCTCTTGCACGGGAGGCTCTCTCAGCAACTCCTCCACCTCCTGTGTTTCTCTAACCCACCTCGTGCCAATGTGTACAACATATGGACTTACTCGGGGTGAAGGGTGGAAGGCAGGTGGAGAAGGCCCAGTGAGGTGGGGTGGGGAGGTAGAGAAGGAATGGAAAAGGGATCTGGGTGATAAGTAAAAGTGATGTCACAAAACACACACACACACACACACACACATGTGCACGCACACACGCGCACACACAAGC